ATAACAGAAGAATTTCAAAAAACCAATTACAGTTCTTATGTAACTTTTGATGCTCTACAAGAATATATACAGAAATATAAAATTATTTGAAAAAAAATTTTTTCGAAATTTTTTGCAAATTATCCTTTTAATCAACGTCTTGAAGATCGAATCAACAATGGTATCAATTGAATTCCATCAAAATCAAGTTTTTGATGAGAAAAGATATAATGTAGATGAAGTAGCCATGGAATATGTTAAAAAGGCTGCTAATGATGTGCATCATCTGATTCCAGTCAAAGTTTCTGCTGACGGAAACTGTTTATACCATTCTATTGTTTTGCTGACGGATAATCCAATGGTCACAACAAGTGATTACGTGGTATATAAATTCGTATTTCACTTATATCGGTAGACTATCTATTTTTCAATAATTTTAGTTCGAACGATTATAGAATTGGTTACGAATGAAATATATTATTCAAACATTTACTCGAATTTCGTTGGACCAATTGATATCGCTATTCAAGCTGTTTGCAAAAACAATAAAATTTCGGAATTATATGAAATTGGTGCACTATGCAGCGTGCTTAACTGCAACATACGAAGTGTCGATCCAAGTATTAATACTCAAGACTATATGGCAGTTTGGAACAGTGTCCACACACCTGCTTCACCTACTACTGCTAATTGTAACATCACAATATTGTGGTGTCACATCTTAAATGAAATGGAGGTAAGAATTGCAAATAACAGTACCTGGAGTCCCAATCATTTTGTTCCACTTTTGTCACCTGTCGACCAAAACGAATTTAGTCATAGCAATCAATCAACGTTAACTCTTGGAGTAGGTTATTTGCATAAAAACCGGAACTTGAAATTGAAATTTGTTTAGACTCCTGAAAAGAAGACTTTTAAGAACAATGCTGTTATTCACGTACGAATTCCTGAATTTGAAGCATCTCCTAATAGACATTTACGAAGTGAAATCAATGTAGAGAATGATTCTTCTGAATCGACTATATCAGGTGTAGTGAAAGGAGATCAAAATGACAGAGAACAACAACGTCAAAATCGACTTGAAAAAAAGAGAACAGAGAAAATTCACAAGAATGAATGAAACAGAAGATCAACGCCAGATCCGACTTGAAAAAGAAAGAAGCGAAGTAAATCGAATAGAATGAAGAAGAAAATTCGAAAACGTGCAACTGAAATTATTGATGTTCAACAGGAAAATATCGAACCACACATGACTGAAATGGAGGAGCTCGACTTGTGTGGTAATTAATGTACGATCGAAAAGGTTTTGGACAAAATGTGCGCTCATTTTTCAATCGTTTAAATGAGTCTCAAGAAATTAATAAGTATCAGGTAAGAAGCAGAATTTTGTGCTCATCTCGAATATGAGCTCAGAATTTTTGTGGGATGTCTGGTTTACGAGTTATGATTCAATCTTTGAAAGACCCGAAAATTAAGTTTGGACAAGGATTAGTGCCGAAAAATCACACAAATTAGAAGCAAAATTGATTACCAATACACCAAAAGGAAGCGCAAACATTTCTCTGCAAAACGATATACGAACTATCAGTTTCCAGCAAACCGTTTGCGAACAATGAGCTTTCTGGTAAAATTCGCGATGAAATTTGTGCTATTTTTTCGATTTCTATGAAAAACAGCGTTATAAAATGTATCCGGCTCTTTCTGAATGATTGTCTCGAAACTCTTGATTAACATCTCATTTAATAGAGATCAATCTTCCCTCTACTTCTATGCCAAAACATCGGTATTGAAATACAATTAGCAATAGATCTATTGTTGAGAAACAACGTCACTTTTGCGTTGCCAAACTTAATTTTCGGGTCTTTCAAAGATTGACTCCTAACTCGTAAACCAGACGTCCCCCAAAAATTCTGAGCTCATATTCGAGATGGGCACAAAATTCTGCTTCTTACCTGATACTTATTAATTTCTTGAGACTCATTTAAACAACTGAAAAATGAGGGCACATTTTGTCCAAGAACTTTTGGATCATACATTAGTATCGACATCGGCCATTCTATAGTATCATGTTATCGGATTATATCGGTATGAAGGCTACAGAAACATATGAGCCTTTGGACTGATTCAGGTAGACAAGGATAATAGTTTACAGTAAGTTACAATCACATAAATCGATCTAGACCGAAAATAAAGATCTGAGTAAGCTCTATAGTAGGTCGTATTCGATTATGGGAAGGGGTTTAATTTCCAGCATAAATGATATAGTTAAATGTCTGAAATGGCTGAAGCAAAGAAAACTGTTGTCCACCACCCGTTGTACCTGTCTTCCCTCCAATCTCATGTTGATGGCTGCCAGATGCATGGATCCCAATGCCCGTCGTTGCTGGTGCTGAATCTGGCCGATCGTGTTTCAACCATTGATCCCTAGTAACTCCGTAAGGGCCAGTATTTGGTCCGTTGCCGACTATAAAATTGTGAGGTAGATGATGTTTATGGCCAGGATCGTGAATCCCATGCGTATGTTCGCCAGCGATTCCAACATGTAAATGTCCTCTATCATGTTCATGGGACGGCAGTTGATCTACGCTGAGAGCATGTACTGCTTGACCACCCACTATACCTAATATTTTTGCATGTGTAACACGAACTCCTTCTGCATCGACACCCATCGGTACGCGACCACGTAGATCAGGTAATCGAAAATGTGATGTATCTTCAACTCCCGTTCCGTAGATTGTACCAATCACGTTGAATAGTTTCGCATAGTCAGTTCGTTTAACAACAGTCCCATCACAAATAAGCCAATTCAATGGTGGAACAGAAGCACCAGCAAAGATACGTATATCACCAATAAATGCGGTCGATAAGAGTGGTGCAATACGATCTGAAAGTTGCTTCTGTTGATCGCTACTGAGTGTAAATCGATTGTTAAACTCATTTGCCTTGATCGACCATTTTTCTTGTGCTTGAGTTACTTCATCTGTGCAATTTTGTACGACTTCAGTTATCCGTTCCGATGTATGTCTCTCGATTCTAGATAATCGATGCGTAAGCCTCTCGACAGTCGTTTGCAGTTCTTCCACTTTATCCGTGAGCCAACGATATGTATTCGTTTTATTAGCAGCCATCTGCATATTTTCCTTTGATGGACATCGTAAAGGAAGAACGTGAACGTTACTTCGAGTGCGAACGAGAACAGTGTGTGAGAGAAGTTTTGTCTCTGCTCGCAGTTTACTCAGTTTGATAAGGTGAGCATCGATCGGTTTTGGAAGTATGAGTTCACCCTCTAGATGAACATGATCCGACAGTTCATTTAGATATTCTTCGACGTCGGTACGTGAGAGCACATACTGTGTGTCATTGCTCATTTCAATCTTGGTAGTGTTCAATTGACTGGTGTCTGTTTTTCTGTCATGGATTGAGTGAGTTAATGTTTGCGTATCTTCAGACTGTTGCGATTGGGATTGACTACTACGATCATTGCCACCACTGGCCCTGAAGATTTTGAAGCCAAATCCTCCTTTGCTCTTAGAACTGCTCGCGTGAGAGTTGGACGATGAAGTAGAGCGGGCATAGGCGGCCAGCAAATTATCAAGTTGTTCTAATCGATCAATATCATGCTCAGTCAAATCGAGGTTATGTACATTCTTGGCTGCCTGGCTATCGTACACAAAGTGATTGGTACCGGTAGAGTTTTTCTGAACGATAGTATTGATTACTTTAGCCAGCTTATCAGGTCGAGTGAGGTCGCGTGTCCAATAGAGTGAATCCCACAATTGATCGCCGGCTTGTTTCAATTGAACCTAATATAATTTAAAATATTTTTCTGTATTCTCCTAATGATCTGTTCAAGTACCCATTCGGAAAAGGCAACCTTTTCGAAAATCGTGCCCTCAAAACCTTGTGTAGAAAGCTCGAGACAGTGTACTGTGACATCAATGAGAATAGAACACAGGAGTGCCCCGAGCGGGGGATGGCTTCTCCTCAATAATCGATAATTTCTAAAAAGATTTCAAAAATTTTGGGAAAAATTGTTACGCCCTCTCCCCCTCTCGAATATTTACCGCTTCGGGACACCCCGGAGAGAACATCTAACCGATGCAAGACTCATAATGTCCTAACCTGTTTGAATTGAAGTTGTCGTTCGAGTAGTCTATCGAGACCAACCGGATCTTGTAATTGACTGTCAAAGCCCTCTTGCACACGCACTTTCATGATAATTCGGTCAGTAATTTCGCTGATCAACTGTTTGAAATCACCACCAGTAAGTGCCACAGTATCGGATCTTGGAAATTGGGATTGGATGCGATTAAACATTGATGTACTCGAGATTTGTTCGATAGTAATCTCCACTTGTCGTTCAACTGTCTTCTCCGAATGAAGAGAATATTGTACTTCAAAGTTGGACAGATGACATCGTTCGGCGATCGATGAGCGAAGTTTCTCGCAGACGCTATCATTCGCCGTATATATAATGAATTCAACGGACTGCAGAAGAAGAGTGTTTGAATGCCATTCATCACTGATCGTGTACATTTGCCGAGCTTTATTTGTGCGAAGTCCTTTCTGAATCAGTCGAATAGCATTCATCGGCAGCAGAGAGACATCACACGTCTCATTTTCGCCACACAGTTTGGAGAAGCGTTGTTTTAGATAAGCATGGACTGCTTGAACCAGTTGAACAGTATAAAGTTCGACAGACAGAATGAGTTCAACATAGTCACTCAGTAAGTTCTCGCGACATTCAGTGTTTGTCGGATCAACACGTGGAAATGGTGTGAAGAAGATGTCCGTTGGTTTGCGTTGATTTTGCGAAAGGACTACTTCGCCGTCGTTATATTTAATCCTGCCAATGTTACTGGTGCGCACTTCGACTTGAAATATACCGCTTCCACCATCCGAGGGTGTCGTCGTCGAATTTTGAGACCAGACTAGGACCAACAGGCCAAAGAGTAGCAAACTTGAAAGCATTCACTCTAAAAAAAGAAAGGTTAACTTTCTTCTGCCGACGGAAAATAACAAATTACTAAAAATTCTGTCAAATCGTGATCGTGTTGACTTTATCCAAAATTTATATTATTTTCATTTGTTGTGTAGAGATGCGAAACTAGCATTTGAAAAAACTTCAGCTTTCCAAGTTTTCTTCTATTAATGAGCAAAAGTGCATAGGTAACTTCATTCCTTCATAGAAAGAATAAAAGTACGATTAGGTTTGAGAATTATCATCAGAAGCAAGACTTCGATAGGATCGTTAGTAGTGTGCTATCTTCTCTCGCCAGATAAAATACCATTCAGAATAGAACGGATCGCGAGAAGCAGATTCGTCATCTTTACAAAAGCAAAGAGAAAGCAATGTTAACTTAATCTCACTCAATTTACAAAATCAGAACATAATGCAATTTCATGAGTATCAGTTTTTACACTCGTCTGGAATAGATATATGCCCTGTGAAAAGATTCTAGTTTTGCATTAATATATCGATGCGCACATCTACTGTTAACATATGTTGATGATGTTATGATATTAATGACAAATGTGTAGAAATAAAATCTTTCTTGAGCCTTCGAGAATCAAAAACAAGCTCTGCTGAATTTTAGAAAGTCAATATTTGTGTCCGTACTTTTATTGCATATGCTGTATGTAAAATAATAATGCATGCGAAAAAAATAAAGATTTACATACAAAAATTGAGTTTCTTTTACGAATGCTCGGATAGGAAATGAATTATCTACACAAACTAACGGAGCCATATTTACTTTTTTTTGTATTGGACGGTTTCACAGTAGTATGGCACATTTGATCAAATATTTTAATGCGAAGTTGTAGATCTTGACTTCGGCTATAACTCTATTTCCCAGCTCATCGCTTCATATTTCTCCTGAACAGAGTATAAGGCATAGAAAAAGTATTTACCTGTATTTACTATTGACTTATTAGTAAATAGAAGTAAATACTTTTTCTATGTTCTATTACTCTGTTCAGGAGCAATACGAAAAAGTAATCTTGGGAACAGAATTATAGCTGAACTCAAAATCTACAAATTGTCGCCAAAACGTCTGATCAAAATGCACCACACGATTGTGAAGAATGCTCAACACAAAAATAACGAAGACTAAAAGTAACACCCCTAATACAAACTTCCTATATGTCAAACACCTTGATACAATGAATTCGAATCTGTTGACTTTGAATCACAGTGATCCAACCAATATAACTGTTAATCATGGTGACGGGCAGCGGAAAGTATTAGTCTAATCATGGAATGTGGTTTCAATTAGCACATGCGAAACCACTTTTATCTGTGGTCTACGCAAAATGCTTCACATTAAATATTTTCGACATGTGACTCGCGCAAAAGCGTTTTGGAAAAAAACCTTTGACACTTACCGTTCACACAAAACGTTTCTGTTTGTATAGAGAACGTAAAAGATTCGGTAAGAAAAATTCCTAACCCCTTTCATTATAAGGAACTATGTAGGGTTTCGTATGTAAACTACGGGATCTGTTGTCGTACAAACGGCTTTGTAGAAAAATATAAAACTTTTTTATTGAGCAAAACTATCGGGAGTTGACTATAAACAATACAGAACCGTTACTTATTTCACCAGGCTATACGATATTCGGTAAAGGAAATGCAAAACTATCTTAAATCCACAAATGCTCTTATGGGCGCGAATATCGATCTATATCCAGGTGCCAATATCAGGTCAAAAAATTGCTTACTACATTTCTATGTAATGAGTCTCTACGCAATTAAGAATACCATGTTCTGCTCATCTAAATACATAACATCTGAAGACGTTCGTTTTCAATTCGGATAGAGTATTCCATTGTGCATCTTTTGAAAAAGATTCAATTTTTTTAACATGTTACTCAGCAGAGATATACTACATCAAACCCATTCTCGAAGCTATACTTTCGACAATATTATATGACGAATTTACAACTTTGTCAACAGTAGAACTTAGATAGGATATCTCTATCTGGCTGGTAGGAAATTGTGTGTAATTGAATGAAAGTTATCTGAATGAAGTGATAATAAAACAACTACAACACTTCTATTCTACCGAGAATTACTTGCTTGCAGCCGTCAATGATGACATTCTGCTCTGTTTCTGTACACAATTTGATTCATACCAAAAATATCTTCAGTACAAAACGAGGATATAGATCATAGCAGAAGAGATTTTCCCCACTATCTGTATGAGACGATGAGAGAAAAAGAACAAAAAGAACTATCATTACGTCAATGGGAAATTACTTACGCGTTCCCATGGAATGACACTCTGACAAATAATAGTCAGAAAAACTCATTCAATTGTAATTATTTCTATGCCAAAATAGACCATGCGCACAAAAAACGACCGACGTGTTCCATTACGATAGAATTGTGACGCAGTTATCACGTAGCGTTGATCGCATTATGACCCGTAATTACGAAAAAATGCGTCACAGTTGTTAAAAAACAGATGACATTGGAAAGACGTTTGTATATTTGAAGTGACTACATCAGCTCATTCAGTTGAGTTATTTTGAAGATGCGGAGAGGAAATTTTGATAAGTGTCTGCAATAGGGAAACATAGTTGACCCGCTATTTAGTGTACCATCAAGCGTACCTCTGGGGTCCGCATGGATCCAGCCTGATAGTTTGCGTATTACATGAATTATTCACGAGCGATAATCCCTTTCACACTTGGACCATGTCGCGAAAGTTTGTCAAAAATCTAACCTATAAAATGCGTTTACAGAAACTTTTCTCATTTTCATTTCTCCATCGCAATTTGTGTTTTATAAAAAGATATCTCGCTTTTCAAAAATTTACCTTTTCAGTCTTTTCTCAAGAAAATTTTATTGGATAAAATTTAAAACCATTTTCTCTTTTGAAACAAAACATTTTCCTCTAGCTTAAAATAATTTGTCGATCGCCGAAAAGCCACGAAAAAAGTGAAAAATTTTTGAGCTTCGTCGATGATCAGTGCGAAAATTTATATTTCAAGAATGAAATATTGTTGAAGGTCTGAATTACTCTGTTTTTAGGAGGAGGCTTGACTCTACGTATTTGAAAAACGTCAAATACAAATTTGAAAAATTCCATCTCCCGTTACAATGCCGCCAGATTTCATAAGAATTATTTTTGCTGACTGTATGTCCAGTTTCGGCTGACGCCCTCAATTCTGGTCATTCTCCTCTTCCGTCCGGACGTCGTTAAAGCGTGTCCTTCAACCACGAGAAACTTCTTTTAATATGTTAAATGAAAAATTATTTTTACTCATAGTATCTAATACCGGACTAAAGTAATCTTCATAGCAAGTTTATCATTTCTTTCTTCAGTGAATCGTTCACTATTTGCTTCTAGCTTCGTACGTTCTAATATTAATTCTATAAGGCCAAGCATGGGGCGCTTTCTGGAAGATGACTGATATCTGGCGATCAACCAGAATCCCAACCCACCTGAAAGTCAACATCTTCAAAACCTCATGTCTCTCAATTCTTCTTCTTCATGCGCCTGGCATACTGCAACCCTGCTGAATTCGAGTCAAGTTCTTGTCACTGGTGGTCAAGGATCGTCCGTTTCTCTTGCTAGTTCTGAAATATATGATCCTTCAACGGACCACTGGAACACTACTGTCTAATGGGGTGATTGTGGTAGTGCATCTGCTGCTAAAAAATCGATGATCTTGACAAACAGAAATCAGAACATATTTTTTAATTTGTAACCAGTAGTGCAGATGTTTTCGCCTCTTTTGCTCACTCTGTATTGCAGCTCATAAGGATCAGTTCACACACATTTTACCAGAGAAAAGAGAGATTCTGGACAACAAGAATACATAATAAGTTGGATAAAAATATTTTAGCTAGACAAAGCTACTCAATAATCCATTCATAAAAGTCGCCTTAAACATGAAGACTGCATAAATAAATTAATAAAACAGCTCAATAAACCGTAGATTGAAGTATATGATCTGCTATTCGCGAAAGCGCACTTTAAAAATATAAAACTTTTACGAGGCTAAAGTTGATAAGAGGATAAAGTTACGATGGAAGGCCCGACTGTCAAATCGCTTTTGACGTAAAACTTAGTGGACAATGGATAACCGAGTATGCTGATTCCGAATATGATGATGGTTTTTGCCAATGCGTCTTTGGAGATC